TGAGGCAGGGTCTTGATCTGTTACCCAGCCTGGAGTGCAGTAGGGCAATCTAGGCTTACTGCAACCTCCTTCTCCCAGGTTCAAGTGATTCTCCTGCCTCAGCCTCCTGAGTAGCTGGGATTATAGGCGTGCACCACCACATCCGGCTGATTTTTGTATTTTTAGTAGAGGTGGGGTTTCGTCATGTTGGTCAGGCTGATCTTGAACTCCTGACCTCATGATCCACCCACCTTGGCCTCCCAAAGTGCTGGGATTACAGACATGAGCCACTGTGCCTGGCCAACTCCTCCAGTTTTTACCCTATTCTTTGATGGTTCTTTAACCCACCAGAAAAGAGTAGATTTTGCATTAAGGGCACCGCCGGCCGCCAGTTGTCAAGCTCCTCAACCTCTTGTATCTCATTCTTCAAACTGTTGGCCTTCTCCTTCACCCAGAAAGGCAAGCTGTGGGAAGAAGACAACACCCTGAATTGCAGTTTGATGCAAAATTTACAAACACCCACAGCAGATAAGGCAATATATGCTCCAAAAGTAAGTAGACTTCCAATTTAGACCAGCTTCAAAATAAAATACATTAGTTGTTCACCATTTGCCCCTGCCTCAAACCCAGCTCTTGCTAAGCCCTTCTCTGCCAAGAGGCTGACCTTGCAGCTAGTATCACCTGGGCTCCTCTGTGCTTCCACTTTTTTTTTTTTTTTTTTTTTGAGACAGAGTCTCGCTCCACAGCCCAGGCTGAAATGCAGTGGTGCAATCTCAGCTACTGCAACCTCCGCCTCCTGGGTCAAAGCAATTCTCCTGCCTCAGCCTCCCAGGTAGCTGAAACTACAGGTGCTTGCCACCACACCTGGCTAATTTCTGTGGTTTTAGTAGAGACAGGGTTTTACCTTGTTGGTCATGCCAGTCTCAAACTTCTGACCTCAGGTGATCCACCTGCCTTGGCCTCCCAAAGTGCTGGAATTATAGGTGTGAGCCACCTCACCCAGCCCAGATTTTTTTTGTTTTTTGAGACGAAGTCTCACTCTGTTGCCCAGGCTGGAGTGCAATCTCGCCTCACTGCAACCTCCACCTCCCGGGTTCAAGTGATTCTCCTGCCTCAGTCTCCCAAGTAGCTGGAACTACAGGCGCATGCCACCACACTCAGCTAATTTTTGTATTTTGGTAGAGATGGGGCTTTACCATGTTGATCAGGCTGTTCTTGAACTCCTGACCTCAGGTGATCCTCCCACCACAGCCTCCAAACTGCTGGGATTACAGGCATGAGCCACTGTGTCTCACCCGTGCTTCCACCTTTGGGCTGGGCTTGGCTAATGGCACCGACAGGATATCAGAAGGTGGGAAGAGATTAGAGCATTTCTTACCTAGCTCCTCCCCTGATGTCCTATCTCCCCAGGTACCCCCCATTCTGGCAGTGCCACAGCTCCATTTGGGCAGCCCTTCTCCCAGGGCTTTAGCGCTTACGCTCTGCAAACCATGATCCCTCTTTTTGCTGCTCAGACCCAGGAGTAGTAACGCTTCCCACTGTCATGAGCCTCTGGGTGCTTCATCCTCCCATGTGGGTTCCCCCAACCCTGCCCACACGCCCATAAATAGTCCCTCTCCTTAAGCTGTCTTCAGAATCCCAGCTGAGTGTGCTTTCTGTTTCCTGGGGGTACCTTGACTAATGCAGATACCCAGTCTTCCCAGAGCCACTGAGACTTAAAAGGGCATTTCTAGGCTGTATGTGTTACAAGAGGTAGTAGGAAGTGTGACTCTGGGATGAGTTGGAGCAGGGAGATGCAGAATGTTTTCATCTTTTGGAAGCCAGAATTCTCGCACTTTTGGGGAGAAATATACCATAATTGGCAAAATGTCCTGATATAACTGCCGGGGGTAGGGAAGTCCCTGCAAGAATGAAAAGGAGAGTTGCCACATAGGTAACTGATGGAAGTCAAGGTTATCACTTAAAGCCGACAAGCCAAATAGTAGAGGCCCAAATAAGAAAAGCAGGACTAAGAGCAATGCATAAAGATATTAGCATAAAGAACTACTAGAACAAAAACACAAGCATTTCTAAATATCAGAGGAAAGAATTTTTCAACTTTGTTAAAGCAATCAAAGAAAATACTGAAAGATTCACAGTGAATATAATATGGTACACATAATAAATGTAACAAGTAATATAACAGAACTGAAATAAAATATATCAGTCAAATCAATAAATCCAAGTGGCCTAATTCACCTGAATTAAAAAAAAAATATTTTCAAGCTAGCTCACAGAGCAAAATCCAAATCTATACTAAAAGCAAAGTGCTTCAAAAGCAAAAGAACGGGCAAAAGTGTATTAGTCAGATGCAAACAAAATAAAGTAAGAATTAGAATCTTAATAACTGGTTAGGTATACTTTAGTACAAAAAGTATTAAATGAGAAAAATAAAGATACTTTTTTTTCTTGAAATGGAGTTTCACTCTTGTTGCCCAGTTGGGAGTGCAATGGTGCAATCTCGGCTCACCACAACCTCCAGCTCTTAGGTTCAAGTGACTCTCCTGCCTCAGCCTCCCGAGTAGCTGGAATTACAGGCATGTGCCACCATGCCTGGCTAATTTTGAATTTTTAGTAGAGACAGGGTTTCTCCATGTTGGTCAGGCTGGCCTCAAACTCCCAACCTCAGGTGATCCCCGCATCTCAGCCTCCCAAAGTGCTGGGATTACAGCCATAAAGATACTTTTATAACGCTAAAAGACACAATGAACAACAAAAATGTCAAAACACTAGTATTCAGACAACCTAACTCTCACACTAACTCAGTCCAAACGAGGCCAAGTGAACAAAAATAAGGAAATGTAGAGGCTAAACAACATAACCAATAAAGTCAATCTTCTGGGTATGTATCTAACTTTCCATCCTGATTAAATAGAATACACTTTATTTTCAGTACATGTGGAAATGTAAAAATACATATTAAGTGACCTAATACAGATGCATTTGTCCTTGGAAGGAAGATACATTACCTGTAATGCCTCATCGAGGACCCAGATCAAATACCACCTCCTCTACAACACGTTCCCAACTTCCGCACATGTCCTCCGTGTACACAGTGTACCACATTTGCTTTCAGTTGTTTTATGAATACTCATCTACTAGGCTCTGCCCCCAATAGACAATAAGCCTTAAAACATGTGTTATATCTTATTCACCTTTGTGATCTCTGCCTCCATTACTTCACCACCTGCCCATTTCTCCTGTAGATTAAGTGCATAAATGGTACTCAAAGGATATCTGCTAAGTTGAATAAATAATCCCTGTAAACATACTGCACATTATAGGGACCTTTTCAATAAGTAGTCTTACCTCCCTAATTTTTATTCTAATTCTGGCTCTCTCTGTCACTAACTAACTAACCAAGTTTATCTGGTTCTGGTTATCAGGTTTTGTTCTTATTTTAAAGGCGGATTGTTGCATTTGCAGATTTAACATTTTAAATTTCCGAGCACCATAATTACACTATTTAAAGTTGTGAATAACTTTGATGGCAGTAATGGACTAGTACAAAACTGATTCATCAAGTAACTTGGGGAAAAAACCTAAAATTTTTATTCATAGTTGATAAATAATAATATTTTTATTCATAGATAATAATTCCAGCCATAATGAAGTAGCAGGGATCAGACTTACTTTCCTGACTTAAACAAGTAGGCAACTGGACAAAAGGTATGAAATAACAGTTTTCAGAATGAGACAGCAGGCAGCACAGGATTGTGATCCTAAAGAAAAGGAAAACAAAAAGAAAAGGAGAGTTCTATAATCACCCAGCTTTTGTCTGGAGGCATATTCAAGACCACAGCGTAGAATGAGCAACCCCACACAGAGTATGGCATCCTCTGTGAGTCTGAGGGGCCGAAGATCTGACTTCAAAGAGTCTTGGAGGGCTGGAAGCTGCAGGGCAGAGTTCTGGAGAAGAAGGAACTATACAGAAAAATAAAATTAAGAAACTTACACAGCATTTCCTTTGAGTCTTTGCCTACCATTAAGACATACATGTGTAGGGTAAAACTGTACAAGATCAGACAATAGAGTGGGAACTGAATGGGCTCACAAAGGGCTCACAAAGGCTAAAAATCATTTTAGTTTCTACCAACTGAAGTAAAGACTCCTTATCAATCACTCAAGGCATTCAGTAGATACTCTAAAAGGGCAACATCTTACTTAGTAATGAAGTTAAACTATCCCTAAAGACTGCATTAGACAGCCCTAACAAAGCTTGAAAACAAGCCTCAAAAGAATCAAACCAAACTGCAAGCGACTTAACTGCCTGCTAAAGCAAAGCCCAGCACTCTTTAAAAGAAGACAACAAACTCCAAATACTCAACAATATAAAAATATAATGTCCAGCATCCAAATGAAAATTACTACACATATCAGGAAGCAGAAAAATGTGACCCATAATCAGGAGAAAAATCAGTCAGTAGAAACACACCCAGAAATGACACAAATAATAGAATTAGCAAACAAAAATCTTTTAAACAGCTATTATAACTATGTTCAAGTATTTAAGGAAGACATGAAAATAGGAAAGAAACAACAGATGTAAAAAAGAATCAAATAGAAACCAAAAAATAGTAATAAAAAATAAAAATAAAAAGAATCAAATAGAATTTCTAAAGATCAAAATACATAACCTCTAGGCAGGACTAACAGCAAATTAGACACTGCAGAAGAAGATAGAGAATCTAGGAAACAATAAATGCCAAATCCAGCAGCAGAAGCCTTTGTCACTTCTGCCATGACTAACTGGTTAGCAGACTTTTTCATCGGGGGACTGTCCCTGAGGAAAGGGTCCAACTCTCCCAATTCTCTTGTTGACCATAGCACAGAAGAATATGCTGATCTACTTCTCTCTCTCCCTTTTTTTTTTTTTTTTTAATTTGAGACAGGATTTTGCTCTGTCCCCTAGGCTAGAGTACATAGCACAATCATAGCTCACTGTAGCCTCAAAATCCTAGACTCCAGAAATCCTCCCACCTCAGCCTCCCAAGTACGTAAAACTACAGTTGCATGCTACCATATCTGGCTAATTAAAAAAAAAAAAATTGTAGAGACAGGGTCTCACTATGTTGCTCATGCTGGTCTCCATCTCTTGGCTTTAAGCAGTACCCTGCCTTGGCCTCCCAAAGTGCTGGGATTACAGGTGTGAGCCGCTGCACCCAGCCAGTTTTGAACTTCTCTAAAAAGCATACGAACAAACAAACAAAACTTAACCTTTCTTTTTAGGAAAACCAGACTAATTGGTATTCTAGTATTTATACATGTAAAAAAATGTGTGCATATGAAAGGTAATGTACAAAAGCTAACATAGTTGGGTAGGGTGATTAAATTTAGGCAATTGCTATTATTTGGAATATTCTAGAATAGTGTTTATTAAAAATGTAAAGTATAGATATGAGAATCCCTAATCGTGTACCATAAGTAACAATGCAACATAATAAAGACATTAAACATCTCAAGTTTGGAATAAAAGGCCTTTATTCCCACTGAGCTCCAGAGTTGGTCAGACCCTGGGACACATGCCCACTCATATGAGACTGTTGTGTATTAGAAAGCAAAAAAAAAAAAGAAAGAAAGAAAAGAAAATACCTCTTTATAGGTCAGAAACCTACTTAGGTAAATAAGTGAGGTTCAGAATGGAGTGAAGCAAAAGTGTGGAATTAGAGGAGTGATACTTCCCTCAAACTCAGAAGTGCTCTGTTGGCTTGCTTTCTGCCTCTTGAAACTCTAACCATTCTCCCCAGTTGCAATCATTTAAGTATGTGTCTTTCTTTCCCAACAAACTCATGTTCTAGAAATCAGGAGCCCTGCCTTTTTGTTCCATGTGACCTCTCCTATAGTGCACAGCTGACACAACACGTGGCCTCTGGTAGTTTATCAATTACATCTGTTGACTATGCGACCATCCCAATTGCCAGACTCTACAGAGTGTCTATCCAAACACCCTCCTTACAAACTGCCCTGTTCTCTTGCTGGGATTCAAAAGGGCCCTGTGTGCTGGTTGTCTACTTGTTCCACCACAGGAGGAAAATATAAAATAATCGATATTGTGCAAAGATGGGATAACACAAAACATGGTAAGAGAACTCACTTGGGAATTTGTGGAAGAGGCTCAAGTGGAATAAATGTATCAAATTTCTTTTCATAAGGCACTCTGGAAAAACAGAAAAGGCAATCATAAAACTGGTATGTTATCTACAGCAACGAGATCAATACATCATTGTATTCAATAGAATGTCCTGTTTTCCAATTTTCAAGTATGAACCTCAAAACTGTAAGGACCACAAATTTTATTTTATTTTATTTATTTTTTGAGACAGGGTCTCACTCTGTCCCCAAGGCTGGAGTGCAGTGGCACAATCTCAGCTCACTGTGCACCCTCAACCTTCCCGGCTCAGGTGATCCTCTCACCTCAGCCTCCCAAGTAGCTGGGACTATAGGCGCACACCACCATGCCCAGATAATTTTTTGTATTTTTGTAGAGAAAGGGTTTTGCCATGTTGCCCAGGTAGGTCTGGAATGCCTGGGCTCAAGCCATCCTCTAGTCTCAGCCTCCCAAAGTGCTAGAATTACAGGCATGAGCCACCGTGCCCGGCCTACAGATTTTATTTTATTTTATTTCATTTGTTTTGAGATGGAGTCTCACTTACTCTGTTGCCCAGGCTAGAGTGAGTGCAGTGGTGCAATCTCGGCTCACTGCTATTTCCGTCTTCCAGGTTCAAGTGATTCTCCTGCCTCAGCCTCCTGAGTAGCTGGGATTACAGGTGTCTGCCACCATGCCCAACTAATTTTTGCATTTTTCGTAGAGACGGGGATTTTACCATGTTGGCCAGGCTGGTCTCGAACTCCTGACCTCAGGTGATCCGTCCGCCTTGGCCTCCCAAAGTGCTGGAGTTATAAGGGTAAGCTACAGCGCCCAGCCCACAGATTTTAGTTTTAGTCATTTTTAGTCAACATCATTATATCTTTACATGGTTGATTTTTTAAATGATATTTTTAATGTAATACACCAACTACTTTTTTTTTTTAATTTAATGTTCGTCCCATTTTTCTCCATTACTTTGGTCTAAGTTTACCTCCAAGTTTAAGTCCACCCACATAGTAGTCACTATAGCCAACGATCTGATTCAGTATGAAAATTTAGAAGTTTTCGAATGTGTGGTAATAGAGATAAGAACAAAATTAACAACGACTTTTTTGTAGTCCAACTCCTGTGTGTAATTTTAATTATACACATGCATGTGTGCAGACACTAATTGAATACTAAAGATGAGCTTTTCAAGGAATTTTCATCCAATCATGTCTTGTTGACATCTATCCCTTTTAAAATATAATTTATGTGTAGTAGAGAGACACAATCCCTTTAAAGTTAACTAAATAATGCTAGTATTAACATACACTTACATTGAAAAGTTCACTGGTGGGAGTGTTGATCCTGCTTTGTGAAAGCCTTTACTCTGTTCTGGGTACTTATATGGATTATCCCCTGGAGTTAGCTTTGGGATTCCATTCCTTCGATCAATATCTGTGGAGAAGATTTGAAAACAGGATCATGCAAGGGCTGAAGATGATCCACAGATTTGCTGTAAGTATTGGCATGACAGCAGAAATAGGATATTTTAGTATTTTGTTATAAATTACAAAGAAGTTTCTCAACGTTCTGTTTGTGAATATCTTGCCTTAAGGAGATGAAGATAAACACATGAGCCTATGTTTGGGACGTTTTCCAAAACGTGTTGTTATGACTACCTCGTCCTGGAAAAGAATTGTTAGATTCAGATGGAATGTTTTGGTTTAAAATATAAGGTGAATCAGAGGTCTCTTTGCAATGATCCAAAAATCTCTGACCTAAAAATCTCTTCATTCCTGAGCATTAGTGCACTTTGAATCCCCAAGTCTTAGGAAGCCCAAGAAACAAGTGTCCCTGGGGCTCTGCCTCTCTGACTGGAGGGGGGGTTCCCTGAAGGAAACCAACTAAGGGTGTCTTGCTCCTCCTTCTGCCTGAGGACTGGGGCCATGCAACAGTGGGAGATGGCTTCCTGAGAAGAGCAGGATTACCCAGCAGAGGCTCTGACACCCAGCTCAGCCCCTGCTAAACCCCCAGGAACAAGAAAACTAATCACAGGAGTGGAAGGCATCGGCCTAGTGTAGGGTGATCATTTAAAGCCACACACCTAAAGTCCTTAAAATGGCCTATTTAAAAAACTTAAAATTAAGTAAATCAACCCACACACTTGACACCAGATGCATCTCCTAAGAGAACAAGGCTGGACTACAAGGCTTACCAGTCTTGGGCTCAGAAAGCAGGGACACATGGCTGGAAACACAACCTCCATCTTTGCCACACACCCAGATTCTTCTAGCTAACTCGGAAAAGCCATCAGCATGACAGGTGGGAGTTCCTGAGTTACCGGAGTATTTAATTTTTTGTCTTTTTCTTTCAAAAACCTTTTCAATAACTGACTGTTACACTTTTGATTAGCTCTTCTGTGTAGTGAAATAACATCAACTACACCCTTGCATTGAGTGCCTGCTGGATATGAGATGCTGAGGATTCAAAGCAGAGAGAGTGGAGGTTTAAAATATACAGTGAGGCCGGGCGCGGTGGCTCAAGCCTGTAATCCCAGCACTTTGGGAGGCCGAGGCGGGTGGATCACGAGGTCAAGAGATCGAGACCATCCTGGTCAACACGGTGAAACCCCGTCTCTACTAAAAAAAAAATACAAAAAATTAGCTGGGCATGGTGGTGTGTGCCTGTAATCCCAGCTACTCAGGAGGCTGAGGCAGGAGAATTGCATGAACCCAGGAGGCGGAGGTTGCGGTGAGCCAAGATCGCGCTATTGCACTCCAGCCTGGGTAACAAGAGCGAAACTCCGTCTCAAAAATAAAATAAAATAAAATAAAATATACAGTGAATCCCCTGAGGCCAGGAGTTCTAGACTAGCCTGGCCAACATGGTGAAACCCCATCTCTACTAAAAATACAAAAATTAGCTGGGTGTGGTGGCACACGCTTGTAATCCCAGTTACTTGGGAAGCTGAGGCAGGAGAATCGCTTAAACCCGGGAGGCGGAGGTTGCTGTGAGCCAGGATCATGTTATTGCACTCCAGCCTGGGAAACACAATGAGACTCTGTATAAAAAAATATATTAATTAAATAAATTAAATTAAATTAAATTAAATATACAGTGAATCCAAAACCTTTTGAATCCCAAACCAGGGCAAGTAATCCAAATCCACTGACAGGTAAGAGTGGAGTGATAGCAAGATGTGGTGGGAAGGGTTTGGACTTTGGAGTCAGTCACACCTGAGTACATACTCACTCCTGCAGTTTCTTGTTCTGTGCCCTAGAGCTATTTACTTAACCTTCCTAAGCCTTAGCAACCTCACTTATAAACTGTTTATTTAAAACGGCTACTTTGCAGAGTTACCATGAATACTAAGAATAATATAAGCATAGAACAAGCACTCAAGAAATAGTAGCAATTATTATTATTTGAATTCAGAACCGAACTAATACCCCTCATCTCAATTATTTTTTAATCCAGAAGATATAATTGCTATTTAGCTAAGGTATAAACTTCTCTCCAGGAATCTTATCTAGATGGGAAGACAAGATATGTTAAGAAGAAGATAACACTAAAAGGCAGTAAATGCCATATACTCTAGAACAGTGTTCCAACATTTTGGTATGCCTGAAAATCACCTAGGAAACTTGCTTAAAATGCAGGCTTCAACCCAAAAAATCCCAGAACCACCATTTTTTATAAACTCTCCGATTGATTATGATACAGGTGGCCTAAGGAGAATACTTAGAAATAGACTATGGTGGCTGGGCGCCGGGCTCACGCTTGTAATCCCAGCACTCTGGGAGGGAGGCCGAGGTGGGTGAATCACCTGACGTCGGGAGTTCAAGACCAGCCTGACCAACATGGTGAAACCCCGTCTCCACTAAAAATACAAAATTAGCTGGGCATGTTGGCACATGCCTGTAATCCCAGCTACTCAGGAGACCAAGGCAGGAGAATCGCTTGAACCTGGGAGGCAGAGGTTGCAGTGAACCAAGATAGCACCATGTACTCCAGCCTGGGCAACAAGAGTGAAACTCCGTCTCAAAACAACAAAAACTNAAAAAAAAAAAAAAAAAAAAAAAAAAAACCACTATGGTAAAAGATATCACCAGATAATGTCATTAGAAAGAAAAAGAGCCAATCGTGTGGTGTCAGTATAAGGTGTTACTTTTGGGGAAAAATCTCCCAAACAACACTTCTGAGACAATGTGTTGTTTAAGCTATTAGATACAATATGGGGCCTTGGCATAATTTCTAGATATCTCACCAAAACAGGTATCAGCCCAAAGTGCTGGCCACTATGTATCAACAGCTGATAGACCCATAACACTGCATGATCAGTTCTAATGCTTGTTTGTTTTTAGACAGACCATCCAATTTCTTTACATCCTGAATGTCTTTACATCCAGGAAGTAGAAAATGGGACACATACATTAAGAGACAAATAACCACACGAAGGAGCCACTGTCTATCAAATAACTTACTCTGCCCACATTTCAGTGCCCCAGTGCACTTAGGTAGAGCCATGTTCTGACTGGTAGATTGTCAGCAGAGATGATATGTGCCACTTGTAAAAAGAAACAATTAAGGAGCTGATGTGAAAAACCTTCCAGCATTTTCTCTTTTCCCTTCTATGGCAATCTTAGAAGCCACAGGCTGAGATGGAAAAACACAGATACAAGCAGACAGGATCCGTGGACAGGATCCTTGGAAAGGAGCTGCCCTGGAGAGCTGCTGGATCCACAGTGGACTTTACAAGAGAAAGGAACAAACTTTAGTGCTTAAGCTGCTGAGGTTTCAGGGATTGTTACTGTGGTGGAATCTATCTTATTCTAATACAATATTGCTATACTATAGGAAGAGCTACACAACAGAAAATTATATTTTCAGGACTGGGCATGGTGGCTCACACCTGTAATCCCAGCACTTTGGGAGACTGAGGCAGGTGGATCACAAGGTCAGGAGTTCGAGACCTGCCTGACCAACGTGATGAAACCCCATCTCTACTAAAGATACAAAAATTAGCTGGGTGTGGTGGCATGCGCCTGCAATCCCAGCTACTCAGGAGTCTGAGGCAGGAGAATCGCTTGAACCTGGGAGGCGGAGGCTGCAGTGAGCCAAGATCACGCCACTGCACTCCAGCCTGGACAACAGAGTGAGACTCCATCTCAATAAAAAAGAAAAGAAAGAAAATTACATTTTCAGGCCTATTTCGCTACGACCTACAACCGCAGATGGCATTTTGTTCTGTGGCAACAGCTAGGCCTTTAGGGCCAATATCCTGGTTAAGGCTGATGGATAACGTCAACAATTATTTAAAGATATTTTGATTGATTTTTTTCTATAATAATGTGTTGCATTCCAGTTTAAAATGGCAGTTGGTTGGCAATCCCTGAGCCTACCTCTTCATCTCATCCAAGAAATAATGAGTTGGGGCAGGGTGTGGTGGCTCATGCCTGTAATTCCAGCACTTTGGGAAGCTGAGGCAGGTGGATCAGTTAAGGTTAGGAGTTTGAGACCAGCTTGGCCAACATGGTGAAACCCTGTCTCTACAGAGATACAAAAATTAGCCAGGCATGGTGGCACATGCCTGTAATCCCAGCTACTCGGGAGGCTGAAACATGAGAATTGAACCCAGGGGGCAGAGGTTACAGTGAGCCGAGGTCACACTACTGCACTCCAGCCTGAGTGACAGAGTGAGACTCTGTCCCAAAAACAAACAAAAAAAAGAAATAATTAGTGGGGAGAGAATTTCATAAAGGAAGTAGTGTCCAGTGTCAAGCTTGACAGTATCGAGTGCTACAGTGAGATCAAGGAAGAGAAGAAATAGAAAAAGCCCATTGTGTTTGATGTTTAAAGAAGTCACTGTATATCACCTAAGTAATCACACTAAAACAAATCAAGCCTGTACATCCAACTACCATTTCACAGGAAGTACATAGGAAAGAGAAACCTGTTAAATGGTACCCAGGGATGTAATCAGCAAAGTCCTGATCATGGCCTAGTTTCTTCACTAAACAAATTGCAAGAAAAAAGGAAGGAGGACCTATATATTGAAACTTAAGAGACATACCAACCAATTTCAATCTATGGGCCTTACTTGGATCCTGATCCAAACAAACTAAATATTTTTAAATTATGGCATTTATGAGACAATGGGATATTTGGACACAGAATATATTAAGCAATTACGGTTAATTTTAAAAAATATGATATGGAATTGTGGTTATGTTAATAAAATAATCCTTATCTATCAGAGGTACATATGATATATTTAGAGATGAAATAATATGATGTCTGGAATTTGCTTTAAAATAATCCCTGGGGGGAGGGGTAATGATGAAACAAGTTAGCCAGGTGTTGATTATTATTGAAGCTAAGTGGATGAGTACATCTGGTTTCATTATGCTATTGTTTGAAAATTTACCTAATGAGTTTTTCTTTTTTAAAAAATGTGAAATATGGGTTACCACTGGAGTTGGGGTTTACCAGTGGAGTTGGAATATTCAGGGAAGAACATATTGGAGGCTTCAAATATAAAGATAATATTTTATTTCTTAAGTGGAGTAAAAGAACACAAGTATTTGTAATATTTCATTCTATATAATCAACACATTCTTTATAAATATATCATTGCATTTACTTAGTATTTATAAAACTCTAAAGGAATAAGGGATGTAGAGAGGAAAGGAGGAAAGGAAAAAGGAAGGAAGGAATGAGAGGGAAGAGAAGGGAAGGAGGGAGGAAGGGGGGAAGGGAAAGGAAAGGAGAGGGAAGAATCATAAACATAAGATTCAGAATCAAGTGGTTTACTTTTGAGCCAGGAGGGCAGTGACGAATGGGGATTAGGATTTGGATCATTTTGATAATCCCATTTACTTTCGATGGGTACTTGCAGCTCAAGAGTGCAGGGTGGGCCAGCTGCAGTGACTCACACCTGTAATACCAGCACTTTGGGAGGCCAAGGCCAGCTGATTGCTTGAGCCCAGGAGTTTGAGACCAGCCTGGGCAATAAGGAGAAACCCTGTCTCTACTAAAAACAGAAAAATCAGCCAGGCGTGGTGGCACATGCCTGTAGTCCCAGCTACTTGGAGGCTGAGGTTGGAGGATTGCTTGAACCTGGGGCTGGGGGACAGGCATTCCAGGCTCCAGTGAGCCAACATGGTGGCACTGCACTCCAGCCTGGGCCACAGAGCAAGACCCTGTCTTTAAAAAAAAAAAAAAAGTGCAAGGTACAGGACTCCTCACATATTCCCATATCAATGACCACTCTCCCAGCTCACCTACTATGGCTTTCCACGTATTTTTCTACCTAGATAAATGAAAGCCTCAATTCTCAAAACTACTTGTCTCTGCTGTGAGTTTAAAAGTCTATTTTAAAACTCAAAAATGAGAACAGTCTACTTATTTCTCTTTGTATTCCTGCTACAGCAATCCTATTTATTTCTGGAGCAGTGGTGGCCTCCTACACAGGGATTTATATAGAAAAGTGTGTCATAAATGGTCCGTTAGTACTCAGCAACTTTTTAGGGTATTTTAATAAATCTTTTATGAGTAGGTTGGGGCAAAGAACTCACCAAGCTATAAACCAAGGAGATATAGATACACAGGTGCATATATATTCATTTCAATAGCCCTTAATTAAATAAGCTATAAAATAAAAACATGCACTTTAGGCTGAGGTCTATGAGATGTTTTCCTTGTGGAGAATATAAAGTACAATTTAAATGTGTATGCCAGGCAGCATCTAATTGGAACATAAATTCTTTTCTTCAGACTTCAATGGAGGTTTCTATTAATAAGTATCTGAGGGAACTTATCTGATGACTTAAATGTCACATTTGCATTTTATGAAATTCAGAGAAAAAAGAAAATGTGGATCAGCATCTGTTGCGAGTTCTCTGCCAAAGCATGCAGCCTGCCAACTGTCCCCTTCACTTTTCTGTCTTCCTGGCTCCACTGGGGGAACATGGTGACTCTACAGGGCTGCCCCCAGCTACAGAACTCAGGGCCTATAGAATCACGACTCGAGAGTTTTTCCGGGACAGCACAGTCAAGATCCAGAAGGAAACATCACCGTATTTCTTTCTCCCAAAGCATTTGTCCACCGTCCTCTCTGATAGAGACCTCTTGTTGCCGAGGAAGACTCCATTAAAGAAGCACTGCTTTCCAACATGGTAGGTGTGGATATTGCTGCTAAGCCTCGGGTAAAATGTCCACTCAGGACGATGCCCATCTTCTGTAAGACACCAGAAAGCCTTCCCTTATTGCTGCTCCCAGGCTCGTAATGCAACTGGATGACAAAAAGCTGTGAAAACTCCCCAGGCACTACCTGGCTATACAACCTTTAATTAATGCGTATAATCCCTTGGTTCTACATCAGAGACAGCGCGGAACTCTGAGGGACTAGGCACAAAAGGAAGGGAAGTAGTGGGAGAGCTACCTAAGAGGCCTTTTTTGCTTTTGTTTGTTTGTTTACCCTCTTCACCCTCTCCTTCCAAAATAAAGCCAACTTTATGTTTGGAAGTTAAGTGTTGATTGGGAAGTTCAGAGACAGTCTTACAGGCACCTGTGATGCAATCTTCACTCTGATAACTGTGTAGGAAAAATAGAATGCCATCAACCAGCAAATGGCTAGGCCAGTGCCATCCACATTGTACCTCAAGTGGATGAAACATGGTGTTGGCTGCAACAATAGGACACACATGTGCAATGGTGACACCGGGAAATGTACCCGTGATAATTTCAAATGAGAAAAGCTGCCGTGAGACCTCAGGCTAGTTTCTGGGCCTTGCAGTGCCTTTGTTTCATCATCTGATACATTTCCTGTATTGCTAACAGTGACTCTAAACAATAAAAGATCCCCTAGCAGCTCAAGGGATGCTGGAGAAATGTGGGCTCTGGGATAGCCAAGAAGAACACAGGCTTTGAAACAAGCACGTTTGTGTTCTGATCCCATCACTGTACTTCCTAGCCATGTAGCTTTATGGATGACTGAATATCTCAAAGCCTCAGTTTCCTCCTCTATAAAATGGGTATGTCTATATTAGCCACATAGATCTATATGTATTGACACAGAAAGAGGTCCATGATCTATTTATACCAGTTTGTATATTAACCCATTTGTTTTATATCTATATGTGTACATATATGTATATATACATACACACACATTTCAGAATACTGTAAAAATATATATCAACTCTTCACAGCTATGGGGCAGAATAGGGATATTGCTGGAGAATATTGGCGAAGGGGTTTTTATACTCTATATACTTCTTTTTTTTTTTGAGACGGTGTCGCTCTTGTTACCCAGGCTGGAGTGCAATGGCGTGATCTCGGCTCACCGCAACCTCCGCCTCCTGGGTTCAGGCAATTCTCCTGCCTCAGCCTCCTGAGTAGCTGGGACTACAGACATGCGCCACCATGCCCAGCTAATTTTTTGTAGTTTTAGTAGAGACGGGGTTTCACCATGTTACCAGGATGGTCTTGATCTCTTGACCTCGTGATCCACCCGCCTCGGCCTCCCAAAGTGCTGGGATTACAGGCTTGAGCCACCGCGCCCGGCCATACTCTACATACTTCTATATTATTTTAATGTCTTGCTGCAGTATTTTAATGGGTTTTATATAAAGGCATTTCATTTTTGAAAAACATATAATACCTTCCTGGCAGAAGTATTGTGAATTTTGAGATAAAGCATGTCAAATGCCTGGCAGTTGTGGGTCTTCAGTGACGGTGGCCAACAGTATGGCAGACTTCTGAAAAGACCTGGGGCACAGAGGCCTGTGGAGGAGGGCCTGTGACTTACTTGTCTGCAACTTAAGCAGGCTGAATTCCTCAGGATACTTATGCTTTTGGACTTCAGGCAATGATGTATCAGAGGAGTGCTCAGAATGTGAGGAGGAGGATTTCCGATCCAAGTCAGCAGTGCTGCTGGGAAGAAAGCAGAAGGGCTGGATTCTTCCACATGCTTAAACTGGTAGTTAGAGCCTGATCTCACATAGTTCACGCTAGAATTGCCCTCTCTTATGAGAACTGGGACTGCTCCTCTATAAAAGTCCCTGAGCATATCATTTATTTACTCACAATTTGAGGGGACTGAAACTTATTCAAAAGATTGGTATTCAGTGGCTCACACCTGTACTCCCAAAACCTTGGGAGCCTGAGGCAGGTGGATCGCTTGAGGCCAGGAGTTTGGGACCAGCCTGGGCAATGTAGTGAGATCTCATCTCTACTAATTTTTGTTTAAAGGATGTTTAAAAATAATTTGGTGGTTCCTCAAAAAGTTGAATATAGAATTACCATAAGATCTGGCAATTCCCTTTCTAGGTATATACCTAAAAGAACTGAAAACAGAGATTCAAACAGATACTTATACTTGCATGTGAGTGTCCTTTGCAGCATTATTTATAATAGGCAAAAAGTGGAAACAACCCAAATGTCTATCAAGAGAAGAATGAATAAGAAAAATGTGGTACATAATACGTTCCGTGGAATATTATTCAGCTTAGAAAGGAACGAAGTGGCCTGAGCAAAAAAGTGAGCCCTCATCTCTATTAAAAAAAATTTAATTAGCTAGGTGTGGTGGTGCATGGCTGTAGTTCTAGCTACTTGGGAGGCTGAGGTGGGAGGATCACTTGAGCCCAGGAAGTGGAGGCTGCAGTGAGCAGTGATTGTGCCACTGCACTCCAGCCTGGGCTACAGAGTGAGATCCCATCTCTTTAAAAAAATGTTTTTAATCACTAAAATGGCAAATGTTGTGCCATATATATTTTACCACAATTTTTAGAAAGGAATTATATGTGTTATAACATGTATGCACCTTGAAAGCATTACACTAAGTGAAAGAGGCCAGACACCAAAGACCACGTATTGATAATTCCATTAATATTCTATGTCTGAAATAGGCAGATCTATAGAGACAAAAAGTAGATTATGGTTGTCTCAGACTAGAGGGATAGGAAGACAAGGGTGTGGGGGGATGATTGCTAAAGGATATGGATTTCTTTTTGTGGTGATGAGAATGTTCTAAAATCGGTTGTGGTGAAAGTTGTACAACTTTATGAATACACTAAAAACCGTTGAGTTGTATGTACACTTTAAATGGGTGAGTTACATGGTATGTGAATTATGTTTAAATGACTCTGTTACCAGAAAAAGCATGTTCAATAAAACCATTACATGCAAATAAAAACTCAATCAGTATATGGAGAAGATGAAGAAATAATCAAAAACAAACCCAGGTGGAAATGATTACAATAATAGAGTATTTGTTTAGTGCTGAACTTCCTAGCAGCTTATAAAGGCCCACAACAGACTATGGTGGGTGTCAGCAGAACATGCAATCACTTCTAGTTTATATGGCTTTGCATCTGATACCCGGCCTTGGACAATGTGTTCAGGTATAATGATCTGTTATTAAGTGACAGAATCTTTTTTCATAACACTGTAGCACTTGAATTTAAATGGTATCAAAGCAACTTCATATTGCTTGTCCTGTTTGCCCCCTACTAACAATCCTGTGATGTAGATAGGACAAATAACTCAGTGCCCCCACCCCAAATTCGAATATAAGCAATTTTGGAGGTGTGTTAGTTTCCATGACCAGAGTATAGCTAGAGACAACTGGAATTGGGGCTCAATATCTCAGAACTGTCACTCTCCTCTTCTTATCCTGACACCTGGGCTTCATTTTTGCCAATTGCAGATGAGCTTCTTCACAAGAGCAAAAAGCCACTGATAGCCCAGATTTGAATTCTCATTGTCTTCTGACCAATTTTTATTCCCATCTCCAATGTGAAAAATCTCAGGGAAGGACTCATTGGCTCAGTTTAGATCATACATTCTCCCTTAAATCAATTAAGAAGTGGAGACGAGTAAGACGATGATAGCTTCTATTTGGAATACTCATTAAAACTGGGTAGGCAGGAGTTAAAGACCAGCCAGGGAAACATAGCAAGACCTTGTGTTAAAATGTTTAAAAACTGGGTGGGTAGGGAAGGGTGGGTGCAGTGACTCCTGCCTGTAATCCCAACAGTTTGGGAGGCCGAGATGGGTGGATCACCTGAGGTCAGGAGTTTGAGACCAGCCTGGCCAACATAGTGAAACCCCATCTCCACTAAAAATACAAAATTAGCCAGGCATGGTGGTGTGCACCTGTAATCCCAGCTATTCAGGAGGCTGAGGCAGGAGAATCACTTGAACCCAGGAAGCAGAGGTTGCAGTGAGCCGAGATCACACCATTGCACTCCAGCCTGGGCAACAAGAACAAAACTCCATCTAAAAAACAAAACAAAACAAAACAAAACAAACTGGGAAAGAAGGAGTGAAAATCAGTTCCCCAGAAAAAGGAGAATAGCATAGATGAGGCCAGGCCACTGGGAAGTCAGTGGAAGCCGAGCAGCTTCTACAATATGTGAACACAAGCAAGGGATTGGAGGGAGCCACTTCAAGCAAAGGAGGCAAAGTGAGCAAAGGCACAGAAGGAAGAAACACCAGGAAAATGAAGAAATTTGATGTGGCTGTGGCAGGACTACTGGAGATAAAGCTGGAGAAGAGAAGGAGGCAGATCTGGAGAACTTGCAGTTCATATGAAGGGGGACTCTTTTTTTATCAAGCTTTCATGGGATTTCATTAAATAGTGGTAAGCAAGGACATGGCATGGTCACATACGGTTAGAAAACTCTGGAAGCGGGGCCTATATTCAACATCCTTAAAGAAAAGAACTTTCAACCCAGAATTTTACATCCAGCCAAACTAAGCTTCATAAGCGAAGGAAAAATAAAATCTTTCGTGAACAAGCAAGCACTCAGAGATTTCATCACCACCAGGCCTGCTTTACAAGGGCTTCTGAAAGAACCACTACACATAGAAAGGAACAACCAGTATTAGCCTTTCTAAAAAATACCAAAAAGTAAAGAGCATCAACATAATCAAGAATTTACATCAACTAATGGGCAAAACAGCCAGCTAACATTAAATGACAGTATCAAACACACATATATTGTTATTAATTCTAAATTTAAATCGACTAAATCCCCCAATCCAAAGACACAGACAGAAAAAAAAGCCAAAACCCATTGGTATGCTACATCCAGACCCATCTCACATGCAAAGATACACAAAGACTCAAAACAAAGGGATGGAGAAAGATTTACCAACCAAATGGAGAGCAAAAATAAATAAATAAATAAAAAGCAGGAGTTGCAATTTTTGCCTCTGATAAAATAGACTTCAAAGCAACAAAGATCATAAGAAGCAAAGGAGGATATTACATAATGATGAAAGGATCAATGCAACAAGAAGAGCTAAAGATCCTAAATACATACGCACCCAATACAGGAATACCCAGATACATAAGACTTATAAAGAGACTTAGACTCCCACACAATAATAGTGGGAGACTTCAACATCAATATTAGGCAGATCAATGAGACAGAAAATTAACAACGATATCCAGGATTTGAACTCAGATCCAGAACAAGTAAACTTAATTAACATTTATAGAACTCTCCACTTTAAATACACAAAATATACACTTTTATCAGTACCACATCACACCTACTTACAGGTTTAAATGAAATATTGGTTGGCTGCTTGTTTGTTATTTGCTTCCCTCCTTCTTTTTTCATGTCTCTGTTATTAAGCACAATTATAGGCATACCCATTTTTAGACTGCATTCTAGCCCGGGCAATAAAGCAACACCCCTGTTCTCTCTCCCTCTTCCTCTTTCTTCCTCTCCTTCATTTTTTTTTAATTCTTTTTTTCTTTCTTCCTTCTTTTTTTCTTAAAAAAAGAAAAAGAAAAAGAAAACTCTGGAAGCTGTGAAAGGAATGGACTTTGAGAATATAAAACTTAAGTCAGGGAGTCCATTTAGGAGAGCATAGTGGGCAGCTTCTGACATGGCCGCAAATGATCTCTACATTTTGGCATTTATTCCCTTCTGTAATCTTCTCCCTTTGAGCATAGGTTAGATCCACTGACTCACTTTCAACAAAGAGAAAACAGCAAATGCCGTGGATATCACTTCTGAGGTTAGGTTACAAAGAGAGACTGTGGTTTTTCTTGTGTGCACCCCGGCTCGCTGGTGAGGAGAGACAGCTGCTGTTGTGAGATGCCCTCTGTAGAGACAAGGAACTGAGGGAAGCCTGTGGCAATAGCCAGCGGGAAACTGAGCTCTCAGCCCCAGCAGCCTGTGAGGAAGTGAATCCTGCCACCAACCATGTGAGTGAGCTTGGAAGTGGATCCCCCCATCCCCGCCACCATTGAGCCTTCAGTTGAGCCCAAAGCCCTGGCCAGCATCTTGATTGCAAGCTCATGAGAGAGACTTTGAGCCAGAGGCATTCATCTGGGTTACACACAGATTCCCGACCTGCAGAAAATGTGAGATAATAAATGTTTGCTGTTTTAAGGCACTAAGTTAGGATGATTTGTTGTGCACCAATAGATAACTAATCTAGAAGATACTACAGTAGCCCAGGTAAGAGATGATCAGGACCTGGAGTGGGACCAAGGTAATACAGAAGGAGTGGAAGAGATGGACTTACATGGTATTTCAGGGCTTGATCACCAATTGGTTGGGTGAGTGGGAGGAGACAAGTATTATCCATTAATCTACACCTTTGGGGCTGTATGAATACTGAGATTATCAACTGAGACAAGGAACAGAGAAGGATCCGGTTTGTGAGGATGGGTGATGAGAAGTTCAGTCAACGCATGCTGAGTTTGAGGGGCCTGTGGGACATCAGGTGGAGATACCTAGAAAGCAGTTCAATATATCATTCTGAAGCCTGGGGCTATGTCTAGACTGGAGCTTTAGATTTGGCTACACATGCTTTGACTGAGTTAGGTCCTCCATAACCCAGGCATCATGAGAGATAAAGGGGACTTATTTAGGTGGGAATTAGGAATGCAGAAGTGGCAGGAACCGCCCAGTTCCCCATCCTACAGGACATGAACTTCACAGTCTGGGCTTTCTTTCCCTGACAATACATGGACCCACTGCTGTTGCTAGTGATATACTTCTGTTTCAGAGGACCTAAAGAGGCAGAGTTTAAGAATTATGCCAGCCTCTTCTATGTTCAGTGCTGAGGGCAGCAAGTCCACTTGCAGCAGATCGTATTATCTAAAGAATCACCTAAGCAACTTCTCTTAACTTTGACTGAATAAATCCACTTCTAGGAATTTACTTTTATTATATAACCAGGGATGGGCAAAAGCCGAATGTACAGGGGCACTTATTACACCACTGTTTACAATAGTAAATCTTTAAAATTATAGGTCACTGGTTAGACTGTGGTCTATTCATCTGACACTCCAGCACTGTAGTTACTGAAAACTATGTTCTTGAAAAACACTCAGAGGTATGAGAAAATTCTCTCCACATGCTGCTTGGTAAAAAAGCTGACTTTATAAGATGTCCTTCAGTAGGTGAATGAATAAATAAACTGTGGGGCATCCAGACAATGGAATATTATTCAGCATTGAAAAAAATGAGCTATTAAGTGGTGAAACGACAAGAAGGAAATTTAAATGAATATTGTTAAGTAAGAGAAGCCAATCTGAAAAGGGTATGTACTATACGATTCCAACTATATGTCATTCTGGAAAAGAAAAAACTATGGAGACAGTAAAAATATCTGTGGTTGCCAGGGGGTGGGAGGGGTGGGAAGGGATGAATAGATGGAACAGACAGGATTTTTAGGGCAGTGAAACTACTCTGTATGATACCATAATATGCTGGGAGCACTGGCTCGTGCCTGTAATCCCAGCGCTTTAGGAGGCTGTGGTAGGTGGATCACTTGAGTCCAGGAGTTTGAAACTGGCCTGGGTAACATAGTAAGACCATGTCTCTACAAAAAAAAAAAAAAAATTAAAAATTATCTGAGCACGGTCGCACACACCTGTGGTCCCACCTACTCAGAAGGTTGAGACAGGGGAATTGCTTTAGCCTAGGAAGTCAGGGCTGCAGTGAGCCATGATTATGCCACTGCCGTGGTGAGCCATGATCATTCCACTGCCTGTCTCAAAAATAAATCGATAAATAAAAATGGAAAAGGTACTATAATGATGGATACATGCCCTTTTATATTTGTCCAAACCCATAGTCTGTGCGACACCAAGAGTGAGCCCTATTGTAAAATAGGGACTTTGGGTGATGATGATGTATCCATATATGTTCATCCGTGGTAACAAATGTCCCACGCTGGTGCAGGATGTGATAGTTGGGGAGGCTGTACATGGTCAGGGCAGGAAGTACATAGGAACTTTGTACCTTCCTCTTAATTTTTCTGTGAACCCAAATCTGCTCAGAAAAAGTAAAACCCTTAATAAATCTTTTTAAAGCGTAGGTTTTATGAAAGAGTAGTATAATATGATCTTAATCATAAAATAAATATATATTTTATGTGCAAGAAAAAATTAAAATTAGAAAAAACTAATATCAAAAGGTTTTGTTTTGTTTTGTTTTGGTTTGGTTTTTTTGTTTTTTTTTTTTTTTTTTTTTTTTTTTTTTTTGAGACAGAGTTTCGCTCTTGTTACCCAGGCTGGAGTGCAATGGCGCAATCTTGGCTCACTGCAACCTCCGCCTCCTGGCTTCAGGCAGTTCTCCTGCCTCAGCCTCCTGAGTAGCTGGGATTACAGGCACGCGCCACCATGCCCAGCTAATTTTTTGTAGTTTTAGTAGAGACGGGGTTTCACCATGTTGACCAGGATGGTCTCGATCTCTTGACCTCGTGATCCACCCGCCTCGGCCTCCCAAAGTGCTGGGATTACAGGCTTGAGCCACCGCGCCCGGCCTATATCAAAATGTTAACACATATTCTCTAAGATGTAAAATTTTAGTGACTTTTATTTATTGATTTATCTATTTATTTATTTTGACACAAGTTCTCACTCTGATACCCTGGCTGGAGTACAACGGCTCAATCATATAGCTCACTGCAGCCTGGAACTCTTGGGCTCAAGTGATCTGCCCACCTCAGCGTCCTGCGGAGCTAGGATTACAGGTGCACACCCACATGCCTGGCTAAGTTTTGTATTTTTTTTGTAGAGAAGGGTCTCACTGCAGTGCCCTAGCTGGCCTCGGCCTCCTGGTCTGACAAGATCCTCCCACCTCAGCCTCCCAAAGTGCTGGGATTACAGGTGTGAGCCACCATGCCTGGCCATGTGACTTTTATTGTTAATACTTTTATTTTTAAAAAGTCTTCATCTTTTCAAATTTTCTCCAATAAAATTACTTTCCTTGTAACAAAAATTATTGGAAAAACATTTTCAAAACTTTTTATTGTAAAATAAATATAAACAGAGAAAGTACGTAAAACACAAAGACAGTTTTACAACTAATCACAAAGCCAACGTCCTGGTCAAGAAACAAAACGTTAGCCTAGCACAGTGACTCACACCTATAATCCCAGCACTGTGTGAGACACCAAGGCAGGAAGATCGATTGAGCCCAGGAGTTTGAGGTTGAAGTGAGCCGAGGTAACACCACTCTACTCCAGCCTGGGTGACACAGCAAGACCCCTCTCTCTACCCAAACAAAAGAAACAAAACGTGGCCAGTCCTTCCCCTCCCCCCTCCCTGGAAACCATCTGTGTGTGTCCACTTCTGGGAACAGTAACTGCTATCCTAATTGTGACTCTTACAATAATCATTTCTTGGCTTTTCTTTAAGTTTTACCACCCATGTACATATCCTAAAAATATATAGTTTCACTTATTTTTCAACTTTATAATAGCAAACACACAGAGCTTACTGTGTGCCAGGAAGTCTTCTGAGCTCTTTCCAGGCATTAACTTAATTAATCCTCACAACAATCCTATAAACTATCATCACCATTTTACAGATAAGAACACTGAAGCCCAGGGGTGAAGTAATTTGCTCAGATTCACACAGATACTAAGTGGCAGAACCAGGATTTGAACCCACACAGTCTAGCTCCAGAATCCATGCTCTTGCCAATACCATGCTACCCCTCAGAATGTTGGCTTCTTGGTCAGGATCTCCCCCAACAGTGACAGCTCTGCACCAGACCCTTACTTACTCTAGGTAAGCAGACACTCTGGGGAGGCCTGGAGATTCACTGATGCTTGAGCCTGTTTCAACAGAAGAAGAGGAACTGACACTTTTGTCAGAGGATGTTGTGTTGGCAAAACATCCCTTAGATTCCAGAAAATCACTGCAGCTAGCACCTGCAACACAGAGATATCATATTTAATTACATTATTGAAAATACGTTCCACCCTATTTTGTTTTCTAGATTATAAATAAAATTTTAAAACAGCTACCATGTATTGAGCATTTACGGTGCACTGAGGATTATGTCAACACCTGACACACGTTATCCCATTTAATCCCTATAACAACCCACAGGCATAGGTATTCCTTATTATCCCCATTTTATGGTTGAGAAAACTAAGGCTGAGAAGGTTAAGAAACTTACCTATGATCACATAAAAAGTAAACATCTAGGCCAGGTACAGTGGCTTATGCCTGTAATCTCAGCATTTGGGAGGCCGAGGTGGGTGGATCGCTTGAGGTCAGGAATTCGAGCCTGGCCAACATGGTGAAATCCCATCTCTACAAAAATACAAAAACTAGCTGGGCATGCTGGCACACTCTTGTGTCCTAGCTATTTGGGAGGCTGAGGTGGGAGGATTGCTTGGACCCAGGAGGCGGAGGTTGTAGTGAGCTGAGATTGCACCACTGCACTTCAGCCTCGGCGACCAGAGACTTTGCCTCAGAAAAAAAAGAAAAAAATCTAGGCCCATATTTGATTCCAGGTCTTGTGACACTAAAGCCTGAGATCCTAACCCCTCTGCTAGACTGCTTGCCCCTACACATAGTTCACCTACTCTGAACTAAGTGGAAGACCTAGGATCTGAAGTGAACTGAATAGCACTGTCTGTTGTATTAAGCATCTCAATAAAAGGATTTGTTCATAGAAGGACTGATGAATATAATGGTGATCTCAACTCAAAGAACACCCTCAGAAATTTTGTGGGTTCCCTTCACACTTCTTATTCATGATAGCAGCATCCATAACAGTGCCTGGCACAAAGCAGGTGCTCAATAAATGTTTGCTTGAATAAGTGAAAAAGAATTATAACTCCCCAACCACCCACAGTTACAAGTAAGGGAGTCCTGAAAACCAGTGAGTGTCAGACAGAGAAGAGCACCCATTATCTTCACTCTGCTGTACTATTAATACTTCATGAAAGTCAATCTGTTCTCCTATCATTTTATATAGTTATGTGCCTCATCCAGCCACAAAAATAAAAAGTCAGATGAAAAGATTATGCATATTTCTTTATGCATAATTTCGTAGAGCACTGAAGCTCAATAGATGGCAATGTAACCTCTGGTAATGAGAAAATTGTAAGAAATAAGAGTCAAACTTCTCTGATTCTTGAGTACATTTTTAGACTGACTACTATTCCACCTACACAGTATCATGCTTCTCACATATAGAACCATCTTTTGGTATCAAAGGGGGATTGGTTCCAGGACCCTTGAAATACAAAAGCCCGAGAATCCTCAAATCCCTTATATGAAACAGTGTAGTATTTGAATATAACATATGTACATCCTTCTGTATATAACATATGCACATACTGTACTGTAAATCATCTCCAGATTACTTGTAATACCTAATATACAATGCAAATGCTATGTAAATAGTTGTTATATTTTTATTTGTATTATTTCTGTTGTATTGTTTTCTTTTCTTTTCTTTTCTTTTGAGATGGAGTCTCACTCTGTCACCCAGGCTGGAGTGTAGTGGTGCCATCTCAGCTCACTACAGCCTCTGCCCCCGGGTTCAAGTGATTCCCATGCCTCAGCCTCCCAAGTAGCTGGTACTACAGGCACCTGCTACCATACCTAGCTAATTTTTGTATTTTTAGTAGAGACAGGGTTTCGCCATCTTGGCCAGACTGGTCTCGAACTCCCGGCCTCAAGCAATCCACTTGCCTCAGCTTCCCAAAGTGCTGGGATTACAGGTATGAGCCACTGCACCTGGCCTTGTTGTTCCCTTGTTGAATATTTACTATGGGCTTGAATCTGCCCATAGTAAATATTCTGCCCAGTTGGTTGAATCTGCCGATGCAGAGCCCATTGATAGGACTGTATAGTAGAAACTATGCAAATTCCCACCATCTATCAGCAGGACTGCTACTCAGACAATTTTTTATTCATTTCCTCTCAAATTCATATCACAAGTGAATAATATCTTTTCCACTCTCTGTCACCAAACCTTTTGCTGCTAAGAGGACTTTGCCTGTGACTCTACAAAGCTTAAAGTTCAGCTGAGCTACTTCCTCCCTTCAAAATCCTCCCACTCTGAGTTTCTCAGGACATGGCATAAGGCCTATCTGCATCAGAATTACCTGGGAAGCCTGTTAAAAATACAGATTCCTGAATTCCATCGCAGACCCATTGAATTAGGATCTCTCTAAGTGAGGCGTGGGAACCTGCATTTTGAATAAGTCCCCCCTTCCTCACCCCTGCTCTTCATTTAGGCTCACCTTTGGCAGTGATCTCCTTCTCGAGGTCTAGTTGCATCACTGCATTATATTTGATCCTGTTCCACTTCCAGATTCCCAACTGCACAGAACTTCCTGAATGTCCCCAGTCATGAGAATCCTCTTGGGGTACTTGTTCAACATGCAGGCTCCAGGGCTCTGACTCAGACCTACAGTCTGGGAGCCGTGATATTTAAGAAGCACCTCAGGTGACTGTCAGGGCCTGCCAAGTGTGGGAAGTGCTACTCTGGAATACGCCCCAGAGCCTAGAGCAGCCCCCAGCGCAGTGAGGGCCAACTGATTGCTTGAAGTGTAGCTGGGATGGAGTCAAGCCCAGGGGAGGTGGCAGGAAAGCGGCAAAGCTGTGAGGACAAGGGGACGGGTCCCCAGCAGCCTAAGGAAGAACCGCCCATATACTAAGCCACAAAAGAAGTATCAACAATACATAGACCACACTCTCTGACCACAATGCAGCACAAATTAGAAATCAATAATAAAAAGACAGCCAAAAAGTATCCATAAGCTTAGAAATTCAAACCATGCTTTTAAATAATTCACATACAAGAAGAAATTGTAATGGAAATCATGAGGTGCTTAATGTCAATGAACATTAAGTACTATATATCAAAACTTGTGGGATTCAACTAAAGCAGTAATTAGAAATCTAGAGGCTTAAATTCGTATGCTGTATTTCACTGAATATGAGACACCAGCAATGGTACCAGCATTGTTATTTTACGTACCACAAAGAACAAAGGCTGCCAATTAAAGTATGACACATGCTTTTATCACTTAGAATTTTTATTTTATACTTATTGAAGCATTCTTTTAGATTTACTTAGACATAGATTTTAATCACATATCACTCATGTGCATAATGTGAAGAAGGAAAATATAGGCAAAACAGACTGGCTAAGGCATTCCTAAATCTTATGCACATTCAGAAGTCTGACTACCAAATCACTTTCAACTCAATCACTGATGTCCACATTTTCCACCTAATGCTGACCTAATAATTCAATAAGAATGATGCAGCATTTTTTTTTTTTTTTGAGTGGGAGTCTGGCTCTGTCGCCCAGGCTGGAGTACAATGGCCCTATCTCGGCTCACTGCAACCTCTGCCTCTCGGGTTCAAGCAATTCTGCCTCAGCCTCCTGAGTAGCAGGGATTACAGGCACTCACTGCCACAACCGGCTAATTTTTGTATTTTTAGTAGAGACGGGGTTTCACCATGTTGGTCAGACTGGTCTCTTGGCCAGGCTGGTCTTGAACTCCTGGTCTCATGATCCGCCTGCCTCGGCCTCCCAAAGTACTGGGATTACAGGCATGAGCCACTGCACCCAGCCCCACATTTCTTAAATGAGTGCTTCTCTATTGTCTCTGGAGTTTTCTTCCAAGCTATGAACACACATTCTACATGCTTCAGCACTTATACAGCAAAAATTATTACAACTACATCATGGCTGCCGCTGGGCTCACGGACCTGGTAACATGCAGTCCCTACTTCAAAGATGCAAACTGTCCATCCAACAATTGATGGGTTATAGTGTTCAAAATCAAAAATTCCAAAATGAATGAACTAAGCTTTCAATTTAAGAAATAAGAAAAAAAAAAGAGTAAACCCCCCCAAAATTTTAAGGAATGAAATCATAAAAGCAGAAATGAATGAAATAAAGATTATCAGAACTATGGCTTCATACAAAAGCTAAATAATGTAGATAAACAAGGCTCAAGAAAAGATTTTAAACACAAATAAATAAGATTAGGGCAGCCTGTAATCCCAGCACTTTGGGAGGCCAAGGCTGGCAGATCACCTGAGGTCAGGAGTTCAAGACCAGCCTGGCCAACATGGTGAAACCCTGTCTCTACCAAAAATACAAAAATTAGCCAGGGCATGGTGTCACACACCTGTAATCCCTCCTGAGACAGGAGAATCCCTTGATCCCGAAAAGTGGAGGTTGCAGTGAGCTGACATCATGCCACACTGCACTCCACTCTGGGCAACAGAGTAAGACTCTGTCTCAAAAATAATACGAATAATATTATTATTATTAAAAATGAAAAGAAGGCCGTAATTATAAACAAAATAGAGATAACTTTACAGATAAAGAAATTAAGCTCCAGAAATGTCAAATAACTTGTTCAGGGTTATATAACTATGGAGTATAATTTATAAAATGTAGTCTAATATTCAAATAATCAAGACGGTACTGACAAAAACCCTAACAGACAAATCAATAGGACAAAATTGTAAACATAAATAGAATAAAATTTTATATGAAAACAAGTGGCATTTTATCTTGGTGAAGAAAGGATGGGTTATTCAAAAAATATTGCTGGAACAACTAATTAACCATTTGGAATAAAAATAAAATTAAACCTTTTTTATCCCAAACTGGAATAATCCAGATGAAACACAGATTTGAATGTAAAAATTGAAATTAAGGATGTACCTGAAAAAATAAGTGAATGTGTATATAATCTTAGAGTGAAGAAGTTATTGCCAAGAAAGATACTAAATACAGGCAAAATAAAGGAAAAGAGGCATAGATTTGAATATGCCTCTTTAAATATACACTTAAAACTTTCATAGCAAACTATAAACTGGGGGAAAATCTGTAACATACATGATAGAAAGGAAAAATAGTAGCCATGACAAATTATGACCTTTTATACATTTATAAGATGAAAATAAATATCCAAAAAGAAAAAAAAAGGGCAAAAGACATGATCAGGTAACTTATTTTTAAAACAAGCTGGACACAGTGGCTTATCTCTGTAATCCCAGCACTTTCGGAGGCCGCCGCAGGTAGACTGCTTGAGGCTAGGAGTTCAAGACCAGCCTGGGCAACATAAGGAGACCTGGTCTCTAGAAAAAACTAAAAAGTTAGCTGGGTGTGGTGTTGCACACCTGTGGTCCCAGCTACTCCGGAGGCTGAGACGAGGATTGCTTGAGCTGGGGAGGTCGAGGCTGCAGTGAGCCCTGATTGTACCACTGCACTCCAGCCTGGGCGACAGAGTGAGACCCCATCTTGAAATAAGATGCAATAAAATAACACAAATAGCCAATATATATTTGGGGGAAAAGTTCACCCATCATAATAATTGGGTTTGGAGGAGTGGGTGGTTATTTTTTGGGTGTTTGTTTGTTTGTTTGTTTGTTTTTGAGACAGGGTCTTGCTCTGTCACCCAGGCTGGAGTGTAGTGGCATGATCTCGGTTCATTGCAAACTCTGCCCCCAGGACTCAAGTGATCTCAAACTCCTGAGCTCAAGTGATCCACCTGCCTCAGCCTCCCACAAAGTGCTGGGATTACAGGTGAGAGCCACTGCACCTGGCCCCATCCTAATAACTGAAGAATTGAATTTAAAATAAGATACCATTATTTGCTATCAGTTTGCAAACACTCAGGGTTGCCATAGCTTGGAGTAATGGCATTCCTATCATTGCTGGTGGGAATGTCCCCATCTTCCTGAAGAGCAATTTGGCCATATGTTACTTCTGAAGCCTATGAGAAGTGCATATCATTTGACTCAATAGTTCTACTTCTAGAAATGTATCTATGAAAAAGGTATGAAATGTACATATAGAGATACAGAATGGATTCACAGATGTGGAGAAGAACTGAAATCAAGGCCAAAGATGTCCTCTATGTTGATACTTGCATGTGAGCTCTGAGGTATTTATGGTAACATTTACTTATGACAATTTTGGCCCGTAGGTTTTCACAGTGGCTGCCTTTCATAGCGTGTAAACATTTTAATTGTATATTGCCACTATAGGACTTGAGAGTTCCGCAAGCAAGAATTGGTTGGCTCTACGGATGGTATCAGAGAGGGCCCCTTCCCAAGTTTTTTGCTTGTTTGTGTTAGGGGCAAAATTTAAATGTTTAAATACTGATGCTCCCACAGTGTAGAGTACCATCCGGTCACTCTGAGCAAGTCAATGACTTCTCCACACCCAGCTCCCAATGGCTGCCCTCTCCCCCATCTGGCTCAGAAGCCTGTGGGGAGAAACAAACACGCTAAGGAAACACACCCTGCTTGAAAGGATCGCCATTTATCATGAAAATTGTTATTCAAATGCAATAAATGTCAAGTAAGCCAGAAGTCAGAAAATTCTAACAAGTTTCTAAAACACTATGAAATAAGAAGAAACTATGTAATTAAAGGCCAAGAGAAGGTTCTGGTGACCAGAAAGGAATTTAAGGGAAAAAGGAGAATTTGGAAGAAAGTCTTGTTTCTTTAGTGCCATCTGTGGAATTCAGGATAATTATTTCCATTTTTTTAGGCAGGAATAACACCTTACATAACCAAAGCACTTTCGTATGCTTGTCATCTCAGCTGATTTGCACAATAGCTCTGTCTGGTAGGGAGAAAAATAATACATCAAGCCATGTTTGTTTAATGTGGATACTCATTTAACCAAACACTATTTCCCACTCCTGCTTATCTGCTTAACAAGGGGCCTAAGGATCAAGGACAGTGGTTTTTAACCCAGTTTTGGATTATGTCCCCTCCCCCATGAGCAGTAATGAAAGTAATTTGTTCTCTGCTGGAAAAAATGCGCACACACACACACCCCCCACACACAGGTATCTTCAACTGGTTTGTGGAGCCCCTTCTTTCCTGAAATCCATAGACTCCAGATGTATTCTAAACTCAGATGTATTCTCCTGAATGGACTCACCTACACAGTAGAAAAGGACACCATGGGTCTTTCATTAATGTGGTCTGGGATCTGGTACCCTTCTGGTACCCCTAACTCAAAAACATGGATCCCTAGGACATCCTTAAAACAGCAGCTTCCTCCTTTACCCCAAACCTAACTGGAAACTGCAGAAAGGTCCGGAGCTTAAGTTAGAATCCCAAAATCCTTTTCCCCTTGCTGTTCCAGACCCACCTGGACAATTAACAGTTCTAACTCCTCCAGCTCCTCCTTCTCTACGGTCCCAGCATATATCAATAGCTGGGTGGAATGAGTTGTACCTCCCTCCTTTCTCCCCACAGTGAAGGAGAATGAGGCGATCATAGACCCAGAATACAGAAGACCAGGGAGAAAGCTAAGATTTGATTCAGCAAAGTCTGGACAACCCCTTTTTGCAGCATGCAGACCACTCACCCATAACAGGTAAATGAGAACTTGATCGCAGACGCACTCTGAGCTTTTCTGGGAGACTATGGCTGTTCAGCGCCATGACACTGTTCTCTAAAGGCAAAGGTGCTCCAAGTACCCTCCTCGGCCTTAACCAATTATGGAGCTACCAGCCATTATTTAATTTTTAGAGTGTTCATAATTCCCACCTGAACTGTCCCATCCAATAAACAGTGACACAAACCTACTAATATATTGGCAAAAGAAAGATGAAGGGACACAGGCTCGGGAGTATGGCAGACTCACGTCAAATCCAGGCTCACCATTTATTAACCCAGGAACTGGGCAGGTCAAATCTCTGGCTCCCTTTTTACTCATAGGTAATATACTTCTCCACTGTTGTGAGATCCCCTGAGGTAACTTATGAGAATCTCCGCTTTGACGGTGCCCTCTGCCTAATCAAATGTTGGGTTAGTATAGACATAAGCAGCTCTTTTTACATGCCCCCAAACTAGCCACCTTCTAAACTTCAAATGGTGCCCCACTCTCACCCCCGACCACGGGTGCAGTATACTTGGATGTGAACACCAACTCCACACCCAGTGCTCTGGGTTTCTTAGCACTCAACTGTAGGTCCTCTCCACCTTGGTCATGCCAGAGTCCCTTTTCTCTGGAACCTTCTCCAGCTCGCCACCACAGGTCGCGCTTGAGATGGAGGGGAGGCGGCAGCCCTGTCGACGGTTTCCAGTGAGCATCTGTGGACTCATCTGTGCACGTGTTGGTTTTAAATTTTAGAAGCAACCCAGAGACAAAGAAAAGACTCTTGTAAGAAAGGTGTCAGTGAAAACAAATTCCACAAGCCACCGAAAGTCAGGAGGGAGGACTGGCCTCTAAACCGGAGCCTCCCTCCCCCCACCCGGGCGTTGCTTGGTTTCGAAGCCCTCTGAGCTCCAGCGAGTCCTCCCCCGGCCACAGCCAGGCTCGCTGCACCCCCACCCCCAGCTCGAGGTGCTCCTTCTTTTCCACCCTCTCCCCCAGGGGAGGCTTGGGTCTGTGCTCAGAGGCCTCCGCGGAGCATGGAACCAACACACCAACGGGCAGGCGAACTGCCGAACGCACGCCGAGGCGAAGGAACCGAGAGCCCAGGGCAAGAGGGACGCCGCGGCCGCCTGCTCCTCCCGCGGAGGCGCGTTCCGGGGTTGCCGGGACACCGGCCCCAGGCACGCGGTGCGCAGCGTCCTTCCTGGCCCGGCTGCCGGCCCCGCCGTCTGTCACCCCCCGGGCACTGTGGCCATCCGTATGGGATGGAGGCTCCTGAGAGGTGCAGAGCCAGAGGCTCCAGCAGTCACCTGCAAGGATCGCTGCAAAAGCCACTTTGTGGTTTTGGAATTTTTTTTTTTTTGAGTTGTGGTTCTTTTCCATGCAGTTTTCATTATTAGAACTGTAGGCTCTGGTGGCAGTGAAAGATGCGCCCTCCACAAAGCTTGCAGATGCCTGGTTATAATTGGCATTGATTAGACAGGATCCACCTACCACTTACAGAGCGCCTTTTCTGGGCCAGGCGCCCTGGTGGATGTTATCTTCCTTAAGCAGCCAGCTGCATTTTTCAAAATAGAAAACCAAATTTTAGCAAAGGCTTGCTCAAGGTCACCCAGAAAACAGAGTCATTTCCAAGTTTCCTCATTCCAAATCCACCACTCTTTCCATCGTATTGACTTAAATTTATCTTCCGCATCCTTTCCAGTATCTAATAAATCTTGCATAGAAAGCTTCTCATCAAGTCTAGTTTAAGTCCTTAAGTTCGCATTTAGACCAAGTTTCCCCTTTTTTTTGTTGCTGATTATAAGAGAAATAAACAGTCATTGTAGAAATATTGGAAAATGTGGAAAAATATCGTCAATATCCATGATCCCACAATATAGAGGTTAAATATTTTTTTCTGGTTAGCTATTGTTGTGTAACAAATCACCCCCAAATTCTGTTGCTTTAAACAACAACATCCATTTTTATTTTCCGATTCTGGTGGTTGGCTAGGCTAAGCTTGGCTGCACATGCTTGGGGTCTCTCACATGGCCACAGTCAGAGGTCACAGAGGAGCTCCCTCACTCATGTGCCTGGTGACTGATGCTGGTTGTCAGGCGAGGTCAGCAGGGGTAGTGACGTTCACCCATGTGTGGCATTTTCATGTGCTTTCTCACAGCAGTGTCTGAGTTTCCAATATGAGCATCCCAGGAGGACTAGGAAGAACTTGTACTGCCTCCATAGCCACAAGTGCACGGAGAGGGAATTACGACCACACCTCTCCATCAAGGTCATACTGTGTGAAAAGCCCAGGGGACAGGGGAGCTTGTGGCACTCCTACAAAATACAATCTCCCCTACTGATATTTAGGGGTTATTTCCTCCTTGTCCTTTTTCTGTTCACATGTACGTCATATGCCCCTAGTGATTTACACCCCTGCTAATATTTAGGGTCTGCTTCCTCTCTGTCCTTTTTCTGTGCACAAATACATTAATATAATTCAAATTATTTTATATATATGTATATAATTTTGTCTTGGGCTTTTAAAATTTAAGATTATAGTTGATGGCTAGGGGCTGTGGCTCACACCTATAATCCCATAATCCCAGCACTTTGGGAGGCCAAGGTGGGTGGATCACTTGAGGTCAGGAGTTCAAGACCAGCCTGGCCATCATGTTGAAACCTGTCTCTACTAAAAATACAAAAAAAAAAAAAAAAAAAAAAAACAAAAAAAAAAAAAAAAAAAAAAAAAAAAAAAAAAATCCAGGCATAATGGTGGGCATCTGTAATCCCAGCTACTTGGAATACTGAAGGAGAATCTCTTGAAGCCGGGAGGCAGATGTTGCAGTGAGCCAACATCACACTACTGTACTTCATCCTGGGCAAGAGAGCCAGACTCCATCTCAAACAAAAAAAAGTTGGCCCTCTATATCTGAGGGTTCTGGATCCACAGGTATGACCAACTACAGATTGAAATATTCAAAAAATATACAGAAATTTAAAATATTACATGCATTGTATGTAAAAAAGAATCATAAAAAAGAAAAAAATAATAAAAATAAATTTTAAAAAAAATTAAAAAATAAACAATACGAATAAAAACAACGAAGATTAGCAACCATTTCCATAGCATTTACATTGTTTTAAGTATTATAAATAATCTAGGGATGATTTGAAGTACTGTACAGGAGGATGTACATAGGTTATATGCAAATACTATGCCGTTTTGTAAAAAGGACTTGAGCATCCTTGATATGCTCAAGATTTTGGTATGGGAGGGGAGTCTTAGAACCAATCCCCTAGGGATACAGAGGGATGGATGCATTTCCTGAGCTTTTCCCCTTATCGAAGTTTAAAAAACATGTTATCTCTTTATCCCATGGTAGGAGAGGTAACAGTTCTGTAGTAGAAACATTAGCTGGGGAACAGCATAGTTAGTTACTAATGGCTCAACTCAAGATGCTGCCTCACCAGGAAGGCAGAGATTTTTGTCTGTTTTGTTCACTGCTATATGCCAAGTAGCTAGCACAGTGCCTGGCACATATAGATGTTCAATAACCATTTGTTTAATGAATGAATAAACGAGTGAGTGGGTGGGTGAATGGGTGGATGATTACAATGGTCTGAGCTGAGCCCCTCCCTCTCTTGCTTGCATCCGCTTAGGAGGAAAGAGACCAGGTTTCTAACCTGAACCACCAGGTTCCAAGAGATCAAGACCTATCTGTTGGTCAGGTGATTGCAAGGCAGGCGAGTGAATCACAGAAGGGAAACTTTCTCATCTTTGGTGAGTCCTGTGAACTGTGACTCATAAGCTTTCCCTTACTCTGCAGCTTAAAACCTCCCACGCCACGTTGCCTCCACTCCTTGGGCAAGTTTTAGATGCCTGCTGTACCAGGCCTGCCCTGGCAGCTGTCCCCAAAGTTTGGTGAGGCACTGAGGCCAGCTAAGGGGTTCTCAGGGCTTCAGAGCTGCCTCTGATCAGCTCGGCCCCACCACACAGCCAGGGCATTCCCAGGATTGGCACCTGAAGTTTCCTGTGCCCAGCAGCCTCATAACCAGAGTTAGGCAGCAGAGGCAAGGGGAGGATGCTGGGTGTGCCCAGAAGGCTGGGGTTTCTGAAGGTCCCAGAAAATCCTGTCTGTATAGCCAGGAGGGTGAGCACAGTTGGGAAAGAAGGAGGCCTTCCCCAGTGTTCCCTTGCTGGCCCCTGGCTGAGCACCCCAAACCAAGCCCAGCCTGAAGTTTACTGTAGAACCTGCACAGGAGCATGGAAGCCTGATGCGGGAAAGGACGTTGGTCTCAGGTCTTTAAGGTTAACTCCACCATTTCTCCAGCTTTAGGGCCCTCCTTCCAGCTCTACTGTTCGGGGTCCTGATGTTCCAAAAGCCTGGCTTTCCTGCGTCTGAATGAGCTCAGGAAACCTGGGGCTCCAGGCCACCACAAACACATACAGGGTTTACATGTGAAGTATTTCCCTGAACTATATAAAATTTCTGGTTTTGTGGGTGAAACATAGTTGCATATCAGCAAATTTGTGTTATTTGACTGAATCATGAAAGACAAATGCTTCTAGCAGGTTTCATGGTGAGGTCAGCGGAGGGTGGGCTGAGCTTTAACCCCCCCCCTTCCCCTGTGTCCCTTTTCCCTGAAGGACCCCACTTCGCTATCAGTACCTGGGAGCTTGGCTCTGGGAAGGAACGACTGACAGGGAGGCAGAGGTGGAAGCAGGGACTGGGCACTGGATAGAGACAGTTGATTCTGGTTCTCCCCTGGCTCCCATGACCCCAGACCCTTGAGAGCAGCTGGGGCAGCCATAAGAATTAAGAGCCCAGAAATTAGAGGAAACCAGACTGTGGAGGGAGAAAGATAAACTCAATAAACTCTACCCATTCCTCTTGAGTCTTGGCAGGACAAAAAGTGCCTGCTGGAGAAAGAAACTTGAGCCTAGAATGGTATTATTTAATGGCCAAGAGGTCAGAGACCTTGGTAAAAAGTCTCTGAGTTAGGTAACCCTCAAGAGCTGCAAGCTAAACTGGGCGGGGAGGGCGTCTTAAACACTACTTCTCACAAGAGCACTCCAAAAGGTCTATACAGGGGAGCCTCTTTTCCCCAATGTCAAGGAAAGGTCACCCAGCAGAAGCCCTCATTTAATGTGCTTGTCCCATAAGTATGCACCAGAGGGCAGTATAAACCCATGTATGGAAAACAGAATGTGCTCATAGATTCTCTACTGTTTACATCGAGTAAGAGGCATCACAGAGCCTTGTATAAAGACAGCGCTGGGGAAATGGGCATTGAGTGAATTACTGATGCACGGTCACCTTCAGAAACCTTCAATGGTAGGTAGAGGAAGCCTGGCAAAGATGGGGAGAAAGAGCATTTGCTACCTCAGAATCAACTAACATCGCCAGCTCCCAAATAGTCAGAGGGCATTCCCGTCAGTTCAGTCCAGGAAACAATGACCAGACGCCTGCTGTGTTCCAGGCACTGTGCTAGGTACAGGAATTTACAGGTGAGTAAAACACAGTCCCTTCCCCAACTGAGTATCCGTGATAGCTATGTCCATCTCTTTACATTCATTATCTCACTTAATCCTGGTCACAGTAAAGTGCTAGTAGAATCATCCTCTGTTTACAAATGAGGAAAGACAGACTCAGAAGGCAGAAGTAACTTGTCTCACCAGAAAGTGGCAAAGCTGGAGTTTAAATCCAGTCTCTCTAGCTTCAGAGCCTGGGCTCCCACCGTGGTCCCAGAGCTGTCTTAGTATGTGCCCTCAGCAATGAGCAGGTCCATTTGTCATCTCAGTACTGGCCAGGCTGTCAGGGCCGCCTCCTAGGCTGCCAGACTGCCCAGGAGAAGCCTGGGAGGACAATCGTCCCCAGAAACACAAAAGTCCCTTGGGACTTGGATTTCTGAGTAACATAAATCAATGACTAAGACTTTAAAATGTATGTAACATATGTAATACATAAAACAGATATGCAGAGTGGGATGCCAATTCTCTTTTTTTTTTTTTTTTTTTTTTTTTTTTTTGATGTGCGTTTTTTTTTTTTTTTTTTTTTTTTTTTTTTTTTTTTTGAGACGGAGTTTCACTCATGTTACCCAGGCTGGAGTGCAATGGCGCGATCTCGGCCCACCGCAACCTCCGCCTCCT